TTCAACTGCCCTACTTTTAAACCTTTAAAAATACTATTAAATATGCATGTAATGGAAAGGCACACTGAAATAAGAAGGAGAATCGAAGAGGAAATTCCGAAATTTCCGAATTAAGAAATTAGTCAAATTATTTTAACAAAATTATTACAATGGTAAGAAATGTTTCGGTCCATTAAGCAACGAATGGTTGCCGTTGGCACGAGCTACATTTTAGCGCACTTGTGAGTGCCCCTGCTTCTCTTCGAGCAGCGAATTATGGAGGGATTTTGTTTGCTATTCGCCGCTTCAAGAATTCGGGCGACCTGAAACACGACGCTGCACTGCTGTCTCAGATCAAAGCACATATCTGATGTATTACCAGATCAAAAACTTTCTAACCGAGTCATACAGTAAAAACCATTGTTCTCGACAGACGTGTAAAAATAAGCATTGACATAGATAACTTGTTCCACAAAAAGCTTTTGCGTCTGCGCACTTGAAAACGTCTTACGGAAAACTGAAGTGGCAGCAGCAGAGAGCTTTTGTATCGACTTTGAGATACTCCGTTTTCACCAAAGACATTTTGCTCATCGCAGAGAACCGACCAGTACTGTAGAATTTGTTGAATGAACTTGCAATCTGTACGAAGGAAATTGGACTTCAATTGTAATGAAAAAGAAAAAAATACTACAGTGAAGAAAAAAAAAACCATGTGGAAGAAGAATGCGCCCATCCCAGTGGAACTTGAAACTGGAGAATCGGCTTGAAAGGCATACGGACAGCATTAGCTGCCTGGAATAAGCAGTGCACATGGCTGTCAGATTGAAAATAGAGGAATAGAAGGATTTCACTTGAATGTCATGTGTATGAAGACATTTTATGGCGCAGTCTGTGTTTCATCCCTCAGCTGTATACACAGACCGAGCTGTGCGTGCGGGCAGGAGTGGGAATCATCAGTACAGCCTAAGAGTGGGAATCAGTTCAAGCGTAGCATAAGAAAAGGAGTAAGACATGCATCCATTACTAAACTACGAAACGCTCTTTTTTGTTCGAGCACTTGCGTAATTTCGATTGTAAAATAACGCTTTCCCATTCTGTCACGAGTTCTAAAAGCATCGAGGATGCCACGCTGGAAGAGGAAGGTGGCGTTGAGTGGACAAATTGTGGACGAGCCTAGCAAATTCCAGTGCATTTCCAGTGTAGCACTGCAGTTGCGATTCATCGTGAGTAATATCATCAAGGCTGTGTCCGTCTAGCAGAAGAGCTGAAAACTGGTCATGTGGCAATAATGGGAATCAGCATATGGGAAAAAGGGATTTTTGAATGGTGCCCATGTAATTTTAGAAGAGCACAGGGAGCAGTTGCAGTGAACGGATTTACTGGAACACCTGTATGAACATTTGTGAATGGAGCAAATTCAAAACAAAGCGAAATCAAAAAAATGCCAGCTGCGTCGATGGCGTGGGAAACGCAACGATGAAACAACAGCTGATCAGAGTGCACAAAGTTAAAACATTGCAAATGGCACTGCAGTATCTTCGTCGAATTTTGAAGCTTTAAAATTTGCTTGATTGTATTTGCAGCCTACGCTAACGTCTTCAGCGGGCGGCGGGCATATTGCCGATAGCTCAGCCGAGGAATGTTGCCGGATCGGGCCCGTTGGTTTTTCCAACTTGCATCTACTTCTGGTGAGTTTGCATTGGTCCATTTGCCTATTGCTTTTGCATCAGAAAGGTCCAGCTACCGCGCAGGGGTGTAAGAAGCCTTGGCTGTTGTCATGTTTGCACGGAGACCGAATTTTGTACATTTTCAGGTGAGCACGATGGATGGCAAAGTGACAGCGTTGGATGCGAGGAGTAATGGTGATGTGTTGTGGCGTTTTGCTGGCGACAAAGCGCCCCTATTCTCCAACTCGTTCAGCTCGGTGCGTGCGCTTCACAGGTTTCGATGATGGCACTCGTTCTCAGATAATCGTGGGAATTCGCACTTCTGTTTGGTCAGAGTGCTGCAAAAGATTTGGCTTTGAGCTGAGTTAAACCGGGGGAAGGGAGGCAAGCTTTTGCCTGCTCCTCCCCAGCATATTTTGAATAATAATTTTCCAAATTGTCAAAAACGGACAAGGATGCTCTTGTAGATAATGGTGGATAACAGTCCCCATGTTCTGATGCCGGCATTAGACGGGTCGATGTATGTGCTCGATGTGAGAAGCAGTGTTCTGCGTCCGGTTCAGCGTGACATTGACTTGCAGTCGGTGATGAGTGATTACCAGATTGCTGGCGCCATTTCGGTATCCTCAACCTCCGTGGATCCGTTCACTGGCAAGGTAATCGTAAGTCTCATTCATTCCTGCGTGGGAATATTTCAAAGCATTTATAGTATATTACGATCAAGGAAATCGTTTTTTGTTGAACTTTTCAGGTGTTCTCCCAGTGCACAGCTGGTGCATGCGCAACTTACAGCAAACCCGGGAACTACTCGTTGCCCTATGCACTTCTGTTGCGTAAAAGCACGCAAATTGCACGGGCCGCTAATCCGTTCACTGGAGCAGAGAAGTACACTTCTTTTACCACCTTTTAGCCCAACATCACGAAACTCGTATTTGCTTCTACATGGATCTGTTTGTAGATGGAATTTGTCGGTCAGTGAATACGAGGTCTCCGTGGTAGCACCACAGAATCGCGCTCAACAGCAGCACAGCAGTGCGCCAACGCATATTCAGTTTCTGCTGGAGCCTCCAGCTGGTGTCATTTCGGCGTTCGACAGTTGCGGCACTTTGGTATGGAAGAAACAGTTGCCGAGTCCGATTGTCAAAGCTTGGCAGTTAGCTGATGGAAAAATTTTCAAGGTAACAACTCAGTCCAGCGCTACGAGAAGGTAGGCGGTGATTAGTGAAGGACTTTTGGCAAGCTGCAATGCATCTCATTTTCAGGTGTCACTCTTTTCACCGGAAACTGTCAGCGCTCTAAAAAAATATCGCAGTTTGAGCGACGGTTTCAGTGGGAGATATGAAGCGCCATTTTATTTTGGTAAGTTTCACACTGCGATTCAACGAGCTGTCGCGCTATTTTCGGTTTTGCTGAGGGGGGGGGGGAGGGGGGAAACAAGGGATTGATAGATGCCTTCCCTT